GTTTTTAAGTGCATTGTCGCTTTGCGTCCACTGTTTTCAGTGACTAAAATTCTTCAGAATTGCTACTTTTGTTTTTAGCTTCTTTAATTTATTCTCAAGCGGTATCTTCTGCTAATCCATCAAAAGAAACGGTTCATTTTTAGGAACTCGGAAAGCGGTGGCTGGAAGTGCTGGCAGAAGATTTTGAAGATACCTCGCTGACATTCCTAGATTCTGATGAGGAGGAAGAGGAGTAAATTTTTCAAATTTACAAAAATTTTTACCAATTCCATATGTGCGCTTCACATAAAGAGCAACTCTTTGTGTGTATTCGTGTGTGTGCGTGTGTATACTCGTGTGTGTGCGTGTGTGTGTTTGTGTATGTGTTTGTGTATGTGTGTCTTTCAGCAGGTTTCGTTTTTGCATTCGATAATTTTCATGCGTTTTGTGCTGTTTAACAGCAGTACAAAATGCATATTGTCACGAGGTTGTCTCTGTACGTGTGTGTATATGTGTGTGTGTGTGTGTGTGTGTCCGCAGCAACTTGTCCGCAACTTTCAACTCGGGAACCACAAAAGCTAGGAAAGCGCTGAATAGGGTAACGTTTCCCACCCACGTGTGACCCCACAAATTTAAATTCAGCTTCCCCGTACCCACGGGTAACGTGTACGGCCGGACGTTCCCCACCCATGTGTGACCCCGCAAATTTAAATTCAGCTTCCCCGTACCCGCGGGTAAGACGTTCCCCACTCACGTGTGACCCTTCAAATTTAAATTCAGCTTCCCGGTACCCACGGGTAACACGTACCCGCGTGTGACCCCGCAAATTTAGATTCAACCTCGCTGTACCCGCGGGTAACACGTACGGCCCCGTAAAAGTTTGGGCGGGCAAAATTATTATTACGGAAATCACGGAAGCTAGAAGGCTGAAATATGCATGCCCTCCGCCCATGTGCTACCCAGAAAATCTAAATTCAGCTTTCCCCTGCCCTTGAATAACATTTACTGCCCCGTGAAAATTTTTGGTGAGTAAATTATTATCTCGGGAAGCAAGATGCTAAGAAGCTGAAATTTTGGGGTAATGATCCTCTCCCCACGCTCGCTCATGCCTATTCAAATTCAGTGTTCCCACTCTCTCGGGCATCACCTGTGGCCCCGTGAAAGTTTTGGTGGGTAAATTATTATCTCGGAAACCGCGGAATCTATGAAGCTGAAATTTTAGGGTAATGACCCCCTGCCCACGCTCGCTAATGCCTATTCAAATTCAGTGTTCCCACGCTCTCGGGTATCACCTGCGGCCTCGAGAAAATTTTTGCGGATAAATTATTATCTTTGGAATCACGGATGCTAAGAAGCTGAAATTTTATGCTAATGTCTTCTGTCCACATACAATCCTGTAATTTTAAATTCAGCTCCCCGCGCGTCTGTGGAAGTTCCGGCGGGGAAAATTATTGTCTGGGAGACCGCGGAAGTTGAGAATCTGAAATTTTAAAATGACCTGTTCTACATATGTACGACCGCATAAATTTGGATTCAGCCTTCGCGCACCCCTGGGTACCAGGTACAACCCCCCTGAAAGTTTTGATAGAGAAGTTTTTATCTCGTGCACGTGAAATTCCCAGTGGAAATTCCGCAACTTAAGAACCAGACATTTCAACTATTTTTGCACAGATCACAGTGCAAAGCAGTGAAAAGCATTAGTAGGCAATCGTTCGGTGAACGGAATTGCAAAAAACGCATGATCGCACCGGCTGCTCTGGTACGCCCCACTATTTATTTTGTTGTTGATATGAAACACGGCGCGCATATTATCGAACAGGCGAAGCGTACTAACTGCAGAATCCAGGGGCCTGGCATAGCTGCATTCGACCTGCAGTAGCATCGTAGTAATGTCACTAACATGGACTGTCCACTCTGATAGGCCCAGACGATCTTGGTACTTGTATATGAAACACGGGTTTTAAATGAGTTGGGTGGACCAGATATTTCTTGCCGTCACCTTATCCAGGTGTGATTTCATCATTTATGTTTTTGAACTAATAAAAATTCATTTTCGGCCAAGAAGGTGACGGGTTTTTCCTGTCATTAAAAATCTGTCGAATTCTTTCATGTGCATTTTGGGAGCGGGGAATTTATAATTTTTGATTAAGTTATTTGAATTTTTTAGCTTCTCATGTCTTTCGCGCTGCGAATTTGCTGTGTCGCAGGAATCATTTTCTAAAGTTGTGTTGAAAGGGCGCGGTAATTGGAGAGTAAAATTTAGCTTGCGGAACGAAAAAAAAAGATGAGGCGCAGACCGCTTTTGTTTACTTGTGAGCTGCCATAAAAATTAATCCTTAGTTAAGCTATTTGCTGTTCAGCCTTGGTAAATTATTCATCTTTTTATTGACAGAGAGTCTTGGCAAGAGTGGCAGGAAGATAATATCAATGTGGAGCCGACATGCGCCATTTGTTTGTTCTGTGAGAAAACCGAGGAAAACGCAGGCCCACTACTGGAACATATTAAGGCATGTTTTGATTTAAACATAACTATATCGGGAAAAGAAACTGTCAAAAGCCTCAGCGGCTGGGTTCTGATGAAGCACATTTGTCATGTGAGCTAGGCAAAGGCCATTTTGTTGTGGGGCTTGAATGGGATTCGGAATTTTGAAGTAAGCTTGAAAGTTTCGAGCTTTTTGAAGAAAAGCAGTAAAATGTCGCAGCATTTTATTTGCTGAACGAGAACTGCTTTCTGGCTGATAATTGTTCGGTTTTTTTATGAGCACGGATCTTTTTTTCCCGACCGAAGAGGACAGAAAATGGAGAGGGGAAGATAAGACTTGCCTCCCCTTCCACAGTTTGCCAGTCGTTCAGATTTCTCGTGTAAGAGGATTGCAATAGTGCCTGAACAGACGGTGGAGCGATTCGATGTTAGTGAGTGAGATGCTTCCACGCATCAAGCACTGCTGTATGAAGTCTACGATTCTTCGCTACGTAGCTCCAGTTAGTACGCAACTGCCCAGCGGATGCCGTCCACGATCATTCCACACGTTTCTTGAATAGCGCGCGAACTGAAGCAAAAAAAAGTGCCGTATCTATCCAGCAGCTTAAATTCACCTTTTCAGTGGTTTAGTTCCATCAGTCCCCTCATCTATAAGAGTTCACAGTAAACTCGGTGCTGTCGAATATTTCTCGTATCGAAAAACGGAAGACAGCGAGGGAGTTATTCCTTCCAATGTATTTCAGCATCTTGCTGAGGAAGGAATTTAGTGCACATTGATTCGAATTCCAGCTTTCTTTTCGGTTGCACTTTATGATAGTTTGGTTGCTTACATTCATGAAGAGAGCGGTTGATTTAATTTTGTAATTTCACTTCCACACCTTATTTCGGCGACCACCATGTGAGCTTGGTGTAAAGTGTTGGCTGTATTGAAACGTTAGGCATTGCAGACCCGGCATCATTTTGATATTCTTGGGATCATCGAAAAAGAGAAGTTCGATGTGTACG